ATGGACAACTAGGTCCTCTACTTTCTGGCTCCTTCCAGATAAAAAAAACGCAGCAACATGTGTATGGGAACTTAGTCCAAGGGCCAAGGGGTCAACATGTCCTGACCTTGGCCAAGGTAAAGGGCGGTCAAGGTGATCAAAGCTTTTTGGTCTGATTTCACATCCACACAACATTGCCCACACATTTGGCCAGAACAAAGAGGCCTTTCAGGGATTCCATTCACAACTTGAATCTTAATCAACCAATCGAATCTCGGAGATGCATTGCAAACCAATCTACCTGCCAGACTATCAAATTATGATAGTGCCCCCAATAGTTTTTGATTTTCATTTTTATTTTTTGCGGAGGTGCAGGATTCTTAAAGCTAAGACATCCTAGCACTGAGGCCGCACTGACTGCGTGGCTTGTGCTCCGGACGAATTTACGCATGGCGAAACGTGCCGGTCCTGCTCTTGGCCTTTTCTCTTGCTCAGCAACGATTGCATCTGGTTTGCATTGCCAGAAGAAAGTTCCTCCGGTTGTCGGGCTGTTGAGGCCTGACCCGGACGGCTATTTTGTATACTTTCATCATTTTTCATGAAGTGTTTTCAGATTAGAGAAGTTGGAGCAGCATGTCCTTTTTACGAAGATAAGTTCCGTTAGTGTTAGTCCGACTAGTCCTACGATTGAGACCGGCAGCCTGGCATTCTCGTAAGGCATTTGGTGGCACCTTCCTTTGATCATCGTGTTGTTCCTCTCTTGCTCTGGTCTGGTTTTCCTGGTGCACCGCATCGTCAAGAAGCGTCACCTGCGTCGGGAAACGATCCGCCAAGAGGAGGTCCACAGGATGCACCGTTGCTTTTGGTTTTTGTTGTCTCCAATGTAGATACAATCCCGAAGCATGCAAACCAACTAGCTTAGGAAGGCCTAGATGCGGTAAGTGATGCTACTTTGACCTTGAATCAAGGTCGAGACTTGGCTCCAATCCATCCATCTACAGTAAGCTCTATACCTCGAAACAATTTCCTCTGTGGAGGCTAGAGACGGCTATTAATCGCCCAGTGTCTCGTGTCTCCGTGTTTCGTTTGACCGGGCGCCGCTGTGAGGTGAACCAGATCCTTCAAGAGCTCGATGAAGAGCTTTGGCATGAGAAGCTGGATACCCTGAACAGGCCACATTTAGTTGCGGGCCAACAGCCGACCGCATAACTAGGAAAACACACTACTGTAGTAATTAGAACAACGCACACACACACACACACTCTTTGGATGAAGGTGTACTTACTCGTGTGTAGCTAGAAGCACAAAGGCACTATACAGAATCACACCCACACACGTCCCCTGTAGCTTCCAAAATAAGGTGGCCATAGCTGAAATTTGTTAGCACACAACTCCTGTGACATACCACAGTTACCAAGCAGGGTTCGTGCAAAAAACCTTTATTAGAGGGCCGAAAAGACATGTGTGGCCTTGTACTCACGATGATGTCACTTGTGTCTTTTCCCACGTGCCATGCAGCACCTCAGCGAATCCATGTTGTGAGAGGTTCTTCGTGGCGTTGAGCAGTTTCGGCTGGACCTGGTCGCACGTGAGTCAGCGAGCTGAAGAGATTCTCGGCAAAGCAAATCAGAAGCATGAGAGGCTTTGAGTGCGGAAGTGGAGTGCATGTGATAGTGTGTTACTATGCCTCTGTTAGCTTATCATGTATGGATTGGACATTTGCGATTTCTTTGGATGAAAGCAGCGAAGCAATGCGAAGCCATCTGCAATCTACATACGTTTTCGAGGTCGTTCCAGGGGCCCAGGGTTCTGGGTGGTGTGAGGATCCGGGCTCGTCACAGCGGCCTTGCGGGTGTGAGCCTTGTATATCTCATGGGCGAGTTTGCAGAGTTGGCCTATGACTGGTCCGGCGAAGATGATCCCACTTTCCTTCGCTTGAAGGAGGCCTTTGGGGGACGAACACATTTCATGCGCTCGTCATTGTTTCAGTCACAACTCTGCGTAAGTCTGTGCTTCAGTGCTTCATAGTTTCTTCGATACCGTTCTATGTTTTCATCCTTTCCAGATCTTTCGCATCAGCGGCCATCGGCCAACAACTGCTTTCTTGAGGTCTTCTGGCAAGGCCAGGACAAGATCGGATCCAACCTTCGTTGCCCCCGAGATGGTCGACCGGGCTGTGCGCTGGTTGATTGGCTTTCCCCAGAGTATCGCCAAATGCAGACGCATTTTATGCCATCCGACTGGCAACCAGAGATGTTTGCACATGTTGTGACCACAGTGGAGCCCCAACATGCCACAGGTTTCGACGGATTGAGTCATTGAATTAGTAAAGACATGGTTTCGTCGGAGATGTTTCACCAAACCTTTAGCAAACATACAAATGTGCACACCTTCCATTGGGAACCGGGGCTGACCGGCAGTCAGGGGTGATGGTAATTGTTTTGATTGAGAGCGTCAAGAAATCCAGAAGAGCTTCCACCCAAGTCCACATGAGTGGAAGAGGTGGGGCAAAGGTATTTTCGGGCGGTGTGAAGCGGCCAACGCAAGCCTCGTATCACTTGTGCGATACCAGCAATTCTTCTGAAGCCATTTTGCTTGCGCCTGCTTTTGAGGTCCTGGAGTTGGAAGTATTCACTGCGACAACTGCAGAGTGCCATGAAGATGTGGAGGGGAACCAGAACGCTGGAGTTTCAAGAAGCTTAGATGGTGCTGGTGGGCGGAAGTCTGGGAAGTCGAGTGTTTTTGTTTTGATGACACAAGTCTCAGAGGTTTTCTCCGAAGCCAAGCTGCGTAAGTGAGATGGCGGCTAAGTCGCATGCCACAGGTTCTGAGAGTATGCTTAAGCATGCCATTCCTTTTTGCTTATTTTCTCACCCATCGAATCTTTGATGCGAACATCCCAGGATGTCTTCTTCTATATGTGCTTCTTCGTCAACAACCAGTTTCGGATCATCGTGGAAGGGTCTGCTGCTGGGAGCGACAATCTAGAAGAGGTCTTTGAGACAAATCTGCGGCGGATTGGCCAGGTCGTTGCGGTCTTGGACACATGGCGGGAACCAATCTACTTGCAAAGGGTGTGGACGATCTACGAGCAGTATGTTGCTTGCTCTTTGGAAGTACCTGTGACCTTCGTCATGCCGGAACATGCAAGCGCTTCTCGTCTTAGACGATGACGATGCTGATTGAGTGACAAAATTTCTGTAACGCTTTTCACCAGCTCCCATGCTGCTGCATTTCAAAGAGGTTTTGCTCCCATGCTCGTCAAAGCACTTGTCAAAGTCATCCATGTTGGTTTGGCACCTCAATATCTCTGTTTGGAAACATGTGAGGTGTCCCTGTCACAGCAGATCCTTGATTCAATTGATTCAGCACAGCTTTCAACCTCTTTGCGACGTAGCTTCTCTTGTTTGCAACCTGTGAATCCGCTTTGACATTGATTTTAGAGCCGAAGCGAAAAGACCAGGATCTCCAGTGGAGATGTCGGCATCAGCGAAGTCACCCGGTCCCTGTGTGATGTGAATGTGGCCCATGCCACAGCATTCGATCCTAGAGACGAGGAGAAGGTCAAGAGGAACATCCAGTGCACGGTACTTGGGACGCATGGGTGAGACGTTTCTGGTGAGTCTCTGGAGGATGGGTCGGGAGGTGATGAAATCAATGAAAATCATCCACAAACCTCTTTCGCCTCCCACAAAACAAATTGCGTGAATATGCGGCATTGCATTTTGGTGCGCTCGAGAAGCACCGGACCAAGGTAGGCTTTGAGCGAGTGAATCAGCATGTGAAAGAGGCAATGATCCAGTGGATTGGAGTGGTGGTCAGGGAGAAGTTCCAAAAGCTCATTGATGCAAGTGATTGTCAGGACGTCTTTTCGGTCTAGCAGAAGTCTAGCGCGAATTCAAGACAAGGAGATGATGAGATGTCTAAAGCAAGATTCACGCCCAGCAGAAGTCGGGCATGCCAGGATGGGAGTCGATCGCTATTGTCACAAGACGACGTGCTTTGTCTCAGACTGGCCTCCTTTGAAAAAGCAAGCTTTGAGTGAGTTGCAATTGGGGTAAGATATCTATGCCTGAGCCACCTTACCAACCAACAGTGCAGGCACGAGGGAATGCATTGCTTTGTGAACATCTTGGGAAAAGTCCTTAGGAGGAGCAAAAGGTCTTGTGCTGAGTTTCCACTTGATAGTAGTTTTTTTTATTGTTTTTTTTTGCTTTCCGGAATCTTTGGATGTCTTTGAATCTGCAATGCTGCACTTCTCATGTAAACAACTGGTGAACATGCCAATTGTGCCAGCCTTGGTTATTCCTCCGCCCGTTAAACCATTTTGCCTTCTGTAGACCATTTTTACCCTCTGCTCCGAAGCTTCTTTTCGCAAGGTTTTACGGTCTCCTTTTTGCCGAATCGCTTACTTGGTACAGTCTGATCCCAACAGCTGCAACACAGCAAGGCCCGCACCCAGACATTACACAGCGCTACTTGGGGACCGTTGGAAGCAGCCCCTGTTACAACGCTCGAAAACAGCAGGCACACCTCCGTCCTTCAGCAAAAACGTTGCTTTTCCCTCATTTGTTATGTCCCCACTAGTTAGTAACTGTAATTAAGTTCCAAATGGCGGGGCACACACAGGACCACAACCACCAAAGCCGGGGCCAATACTGTAAATACCACGGCTTTCGGGGCGGACCATGACCAAGGCCCATCCTGTGAATACGAATGCTTTCGGGATTGTGGGCTTGCCCTTCTCAACAAATTATGACCTGGGCGCCATGACGGGACTGATCCAATAAATCCAAAATCATGGTATGGTTATGCGCCAAGATTAATATAATCAATATCAATATTATTATATTAATAAATCATTATTTAATTGAATTCAATAACAATATATATATATATTATAATTAATATTTATTATAGGAATTAATAAAACCATAATTTACAAATTGTTTAAAAAATAAATTATTTAATATAAACAAGATGGAACTTACGAACCCGAATGGAAACACGATCGAAAAACTACATATATCCAAATGACACTTTTGTAGGACACTTTTGTGGGACACTTTTTTGGGACACTCTTGTAGGATTGTAGGATATTTTTGTAGGACACTTTTGTGGGTCATTTTTGTGGGAAATTCTTGTGGGACACTTTTGTAGGAAACTCTTGTGGGACACTTTTGTGGGACACTTTTGTGGGACATTTTATGGGACACTTTTGTGGGAAACTCTTGTAAAACACTTTTGTGGAACACTTTTGTGGGATATTTTTGTAGGACACTTTTGTGGGACACTTTTGTGGGATACTTTTGTAGGAAATTCTTGTGGGACACTTTTATGGGACACCCTTGTGGGACACTCTTGTGGGTCACTTGCAGGCCACTCTTATAGGAGACTCTTGTAGGACACTCTTGTGGGACACTCTTGTGGGACACTCTTGTGGGACAGTCTTGTAGGACATTCTTGTGGGACACTTTTGTGGGACACTCTTGGAGGACACTCTTGTGGGTCACTTGCAGGACACTTTTGTGGGACACTCTTACACGACACTCTTGTAGGACACTCTTCAGGGACACTCTTCTGAGACACTTTTGAGCGTACGGGTCACTCTTGTAGGAAACTCTTGGACACTCTTGTGAAACACTTTTATAGGACACTCTTGTGGGACACGCTTCTGGGACACTCTTGTAGGACACTCTTGTAGGACACTCTTGTGGGTCACTCTTGTGGGAAATTCGTGTGGGACACTCTTATAGGACACTTTTGTGGGACACTCTTGTAGGACACTCTTATGGGACACTTTTGTAGGACACTCTTGTGGGACACTCTTGTGAGACACTGTTGCGGAACACTCTTGTTGGACACTCTTGTGGGACACTCTTGTAGGACACTTTTGCGGGACACTCTTGTGAGACACTTTTGTAGGACACTCTTGTGGGTCACTTGCAGGACACTCTTGTGGGACACTCTTACACGACACTCTTATAGCACACTCTTGTGGGACACTCTTGTAGGACACTCTTGTGAGACACTCTTGTGGGACACTCTTATGGGACACTTTTATAGGACACTCTTGTGGGATACTCTTGTCGGACACTCTTAAGGAACACTCTTGTGAGACACTCTTGAGCGACACTGTTGCGGGACACTTTTGTGGGACACTCTTCCAGCTCCCCAGATACTCCGCGTACTGAAGTTGTACTACAAAGTCACCAGTTCTCATTTTCCAGTTCCCCAGAGACTCCGCGGACAAAAATTGTACTACAAAGTCGCCAGTGCTCGCCTGCATTTCGCGCGCTCGACACGCACGATCTCCTCAGAGGATTGCACGGGCACCGGACAAATCGCACTCTCGCCTGCATTTCGCGCGCTCGACACGCACGATCTCCTCAGAGGGTTGCGCGGGCACCGGACAAATCGCACTCTCGCCTGCATTTCGCGCACTCGACACGCACGATCTCCGCAGAGGGTTGCGCGTCAAGTCTCCAAAACGAGCGTTTCGTACGAGACCTCCTCAAACATTCACACGTCAAAGTCTGCAAAACGAGCGTTTCGTACGAGACTTCCTCCAAAAGTCAAGCGGAAACACCCATCGCAACACACACATCACGCAGCCCTGCCAAGCAGTCTCGCGATTCCAGCCCCTCCAAATAATATCCGCTCACACGCCAATCCCAATGTGACAACGACATTCACCTCTACCACAACTCACAACCTCACGATTCCCTGCGCCTGCCACGAAAATCGCACTTCCACACCTCAAAACACGCACAAAGTCCTGCGCCTGCCACGAAAAGTGACAATATCATCTCATATGAGCTTCAACAAAATTTGCACCACACCACACATTTGGAACGATTTCGACCCGTTCTGAGCACATTCCCATCCACCAAAATCGCCATTTCAGCTGAGACTTAGCACGAAAACCGAGCTTCGATGCCACACCCTGAAACGCAAATCCCAATGGTACGGCCACATCTAACACCCCAAAAACACGAATCTCCAAACGCTAATCCCAATGGAACTGCGCAGCAATCTGCGGATCTCACGAAACGCTGCGCCCGTGCAACGAAATGCATCACGTTTCTTGCGCGACATGTCGGTGTCATGCAAATCACAATGGAATTGCGGCGCAAACTGACACGTAACACATCCATGAAAAATCATTTGCAAAAGCTTCCCCCAATGGCAACAAATTTGAGACGCGACGACGACGAGAGACGACGAGAGACGACGACACGACGCAAGCCATGCAAATACAGGTCCAATCCCCACACCCCCAACTATAAACGGGAACCCTTCGCTACGCATTCGGGAAACAAAATCGAAATATATGTTATTATAAGGATTAAATTAGTTTAGGGGAATTATTTAATAAATGATATATATTAATATAAAATATCGATAGAAATAATATATATTAATAAATATATATGGTAATCGATCGAAAGGACGATATAAGGCCTATGTCATTGAGAGCTTCTTTAAGTTGTTCGTGATTTTTTCTCGAATTTGCGAAAATAGATTATTTATTTGGCGAAAAATTTGCGAATTATCTATTATATTATAAGATATATATGCAATTTTTAGGTTTGAAGGTATGTCCTCCTCCTCCTCCGAGTTGCTGTTGTTGTTCCTACTACCACTACGACTACCACTTCTAATTTATGAGGCTTACGCTTGATAGCCGGGCGCCGGCCCACTAGGATCTATTGAGCCATCTTGGAGGCTATGTTGGGCACATGTTGGGGATATGTTGGCAATCTTGGGCCTATGTTGGGGAGATTTTAGGCAATGTATGTAGAAAAAAATCTTCTGATATAATTTTTTACGATTTTTCCTTCCCGCAAAGCAAAAACCATGGAAAAAAACCTGCGTTTTTTAATATCGCCAAGATGAAATTCTCGGCCGCCGAGGGGCCCAAAACCCTGTAAAACACAGTGTTTTGTGTACTTCACACACACAAAACATTATAAATTACATATAAATCTGTCGACCGGATTTAACCTGAGGTCGGGGGTCGGGCGGAGGTCAACCAAAAGGGTCGGCGGCAGGGGCGGCGAGCGTATATAACCTTCGGTCACCAGCCGAAGGCCTCCGGCAAGGACACGGGCCCGTGGCCGGCGCCCGGAATTACTCCTCCTCGTGCTGTTGCCACTGGTTTTTACGTTGTGCGCCTAGAAACCCACCAATGACGCGACAATTTTTGGCGAAAGATTCGCGAAAGTTCCGCGAAAGAATAGGCGAATGTGAAGGTTTGTTTTGTGGACCCCTGTCCAAGCCAAGCAGCGATAGACCTAGCAAGACATGAGCGCAACAATCGTTGATAGCTCTTCCAACTTATCCTCCACCAATTCTGCTGATTCATCCAATGGTGGTGATTGAGAATTCTCGTCTGCAGATCCAAAATGGTATTTGATGGAAGTGCTTAGGCTGTTATGTAGAATCATTATGATTTCTAGAGTGTATACCCCCCCGCGAAAATTAAATATAGAATTCGCGAAAGATTCGCGAACATATTTTATTTTTTTCGCGAAGAATGACCTGCCAACAAGAAGGAATTTTGATCAACCACCATATAGAAAAAATTAGTAATTAATAACAATATATATATATTTTTTTTAATCGATTAATATATTATTTATTGTTGTTTATATTTATTATAATATTTTTTTATTTATTTCGATATTAATATTAAATATATATATGAAAATATTATTTAATCATTATTTATTTTTAATTAACCATTAATTCGATATTATAAATATATAATTATTAAAGATATATATATATTAATAATATATATTTATAAATTAAAATATTTTGACATGATTTATATCTATATATATATTTGATAATTAGAATATATATATTATATTTCCTTCTATCGCCCAAAAACCGTGAAAGCCGGCACGCAAATAATCGACCGCTTCTGGGGCCACCTGCGCACCTCCCTCAAGCACGCCCCGCGCAAAGTCGGCTCCATTGCCCTGGCTCGTAAAATTCGAGCGGCGCAGTGGACGTACTGACACCGCAGCCAGAACCTCTGGGTTGCCACTGGCCGGATGCTTGAGGATCTTCGTGCCTAATCCTTCATTGGCTGCCAAAAAAGAATTTGCT